AGTGATGCTCAAAATGGTTTCACCACTGGCATCCACTGAGATTTCCACCTCTTTACCCTTAAAGGTCACAGGACTACCGGGGGTCACATACCCTTGGGATCCCCAGGTGAAGGCCTCTACGAACCGCTGAAAGGGGAAGCTGGGATCATGCGTCAAAAGAAAGTCATCCACGTAAACTACCAAAACAGCACAAGTAAAACCTGAAGCATTCACACAATAAAACATCATGCGATCAAACAAGCGCACGCGAAATCCCAAAGCAACCAGGCGGCGTTCGACCTCAGCTGTCCACGTATATGGGGCATTTGCCAATCCATACACGTTGCCAGTGATCTCAAACAGGGCACTCTGAAAAACGCCAGCTCTCTTGACGATCTCGTCAGACGGCGGCCGCGTGAAAATCTTGCCCTCACGTTCTTCCATGTTCTGCTGGCCCTGAAGGAACGCTGTGGAGACGTCCCCGGTCCAGAGCTTCCAAAGGGTCTGGGTCTTGAAAGCTTTTCCATTAGCACCTGAAACGTAGATGGCAAGGAGCAGCAATTCTGAAAGACGAGACGGAGTGGGGGCATTCCCGGTGATGCTGCGAAGATCTGGGTCTTGGTTGCCGCGTATGACCACGCGACACTTTGCACGCAAAGGTGCAACACCCTTGGATTTGTCCCGGTACACCGCCCTTGAGCTCATGACTCGACGGCGTCAGCCAGGATGCGCTTTGCCTCTGCTGGTGGAATTGGCCTCAGGCTCTTCCATGTCTGGAAGCTTGTTGCTTCTTTCCGGGCGGCGTCCACGAAGGCTTCGATATAGTCAGGAGACTGTTTCATGATGTCGCTGCACTGCAACTCTTTCTCTATGGCCTTTTGCTCTTGCCTCGTGAGCGTCATACCCTTGGAAAACTTGGGGCCTCCACTGGTCATATCTTCTTCGTCTGTGCTGGAATCGCTCAATGAACTATTGAAATCTCCAACACCTTTCGCAAGATCGGTGACATAGATCTTGTAGAAAATGTTCTTGCCAGTGAAGGGGTTCTCAAAGCTGCCATCCCAACCTTCTGAAACCTCCTCCAAGCTATCATCATAGCCCAGGAAAGAAGTGGTGAGCGCAGCTGACTTACCTGAATGCCAAAGTTCGGTCACGGTGTTCAAGGGCTCCTTGAAGTGGTGTGACTCATCTTCCTCCAGCTCTGGTTGAACTGGCCCTTCAAAGAGAAGTTCACCGGCGACCGCATCTAAAGTTCTCCTCCAAAGAACTGTTGACATAGCTGGACCTGATGCCAAGGAGAGGCTCGGCTTCGATGTCAAAAGGTCCAGTCCTGCCTAACAATGTAGGTCAGGAAATGGTTCACCGAAGGCGCTCTCATAGTTGTAGAGCTCGTATGTTCGGTTGTCTACTTTTCTGGCTTGGATGAAGCCAGCTTGCAAAGCCTCAACGGCTTCTTTGAAGGTCTTGCGTCTGATGCGTCACTTGGATGCTTGCTTGGACTGTGAGATGGAGGTTTTGGTCTTGACTCCAACTCTCTTTCCTTGAGATCAGGCGGCGTCTGAGGGATCATTTGTTCTAAGGCCTGGGGCGGTGACTCCGCCGTCAGGTCTACAATCTCCGGAACTGGAGATGAATGCTGTGGATCTTGATTGTGTTCTTGTAGAACCAGTTGTGCAGAATCTTGAGGAACTCCGGCGGGTTGTGATTCATGAGGTGGAGCTTGTTCTTCCTGAAGTATTCTGTCTTGGAGCTGGTATGGATCCCTTGACGCCGCTGCATCTTTGTCCCTCTCATCGAATGCGTCCTCCAAGGGAGCTCTGGAGGGCGCTTGGCGTGACCTTCTGGAAATGGGTGTTCTGGATCTGTGTGATCCATGTCGTCTGGCTGGTGTGAATGGCGCTGGCATTGAACTGTCCTGTCGAATGTGCACTGCCATTGGACTTGACGGTGCGGGTGCTTCTGGTGTGTCGTTCTTGGGTTCGGTATTGTTTGTCTGTTCTGCTGTATCTGGGGCTAAGTTAAATTGGTGATAACCAGCTGTCAAATTAGATTGATCAGCTG